GAATGGGACTGGGGAGGAGGACAGGGGCAAGGGAGGCGGCCGGTCTGGGACAGGGCGGGGCGGACGTAGGATGAGGGCAGGGGCGGAAGGTGGGACGGGAGGAGGGTCTGGCGACGGGGTGGGGGATGGGGCGAGGACAAGGCCAGGACAGGACAAGGTGTTGTGGGGACTTGAGCGGAGAGGACGGCGTGGGCGTGGACAGGAGCCGTGCCGGAATGACGGCGGAAGGGTCGGGGTTTTCCGACTAAGGGTACAGACCTGGAGTGAGGCCCGGACAATGCCCCGAGTGTAGCGATTGGGTGGGTGGGGGACAGGGGAGAGGTTGATGGGGGGAGGACCTTGGGGCAGGGGACAGGGGTGGGATAGGACAGGGGCGGGATTGGAGCCCCCTCAGGGGTTCTGCTCAGCTCTGTGCTGCCTATGGAGTCCAGTTTGGCCCAGTGCACGCTGTAGGGAATTTCCGTCCCCAGGCTGAAGTGGTCTAGAGATCCAGCGAGCAAGTGGACCCTGCCTCCTCATCTTGCCAGCGTAGACAGCCCAGAGAGGTACTTGTGGGCAGAAGGTTCTTAGCTCATCTGCGCAGGTTCAGCTGTGAGTCCGGCGTAAGTGGGGGAGGGGCGAGTCAGTCACTGCCCTGCTTGGTCTTTACTTAGGTGCGCAGTGGCAGGTCTGGGCCAGGACCTGTTGCTGCTCTGGTGACCAGCATTCATTGACTTGTCCTGGGTTTACTGTGTGGTCAAAACGAAATTCACTCTTTTTCTTCCAAAGGAAACTCAGTAGCTACAAGCTAGGAGTTATGGGAAGACTTCTGGAAAGCATCCTTGAACGCTTCACACTTAGAGGATCTCTTAGTTGCTTCTCAGAAGCGTTAGAAGCACCAAGAAATACTTTATGGCCGGGTGGCTACAGATCGAGGGCTGTCATTCTCAGTGGTGTTCACAGGCGAGGGGTGGGGGGAGCTCTGGGCCGTGTGCAGTCTCTGTTATTGGGGCCAGATGCCCTGAGGGAGGCCAGACCAGATGGGCACTCGCCAGTCTCGCCTGCTTTTGCAGGAGAGTCTAGTCGAGAAGTATATCTGTGTCCGATGGCAGCTTCTAACAAGAGTCCATTAGCGTGTCCTTCTCAGCAGCGACGAAGTGAGCTGCTCCTGCTCCCTTAGCAGCAGGGTACTGAGCGCCGCCTGGGGATTCGGTGGGGAGGATTCGGTTTTAAGGAGCTGGGGTTTCAAACCTAGCACCGGTGTCAGCCTTGGAAAAGCGCCCCGCTCACGCTCACGCTACGGACTGCCGGGCTCAGCACGCGGCGTCAGCGTGCACCGACTGGCTCACAGCAGCCTGAACTGACCAAAAAATGTTTCCTAATTTTCTAGGCCATCTTAGCGGCTCAGAGGCGAGGAGAAGATGTGGAGACTTCCAAGAAATGTAGGTGCTCGAGCTTCCACTCACGAGGCGGGGCACGCAGTGGGGTGCGCCGCGCAGGTGCCACTGCCTGGGCCACCGGGATGGCCGCTGAGCTGGGACTGGGTCAGAGCAGCGGGTCAGCATAGGTCAGGGGGCGTGCTGTCCCCTCCCACAGGTGGGGGACAGTTCTGGACGCCACGCTCTTAGGCCTGTGAGGTTCCTGTACTTGAAGCGGCTTGGCTCCCTATGTCACCCGGGCACAGGGCGCCGTTTGGGCCCGATTCCTGTCCTGAAATGGTGTTCCCGTCCTTCTGGTTTGTTGCAAACCCTCTCTCTGTTCTCGCCGGTCCAGGGGCCGCTGGCCAGAACAAACAGCATTCAATCACCAAGAACACAGCCAAGCTAGACCGGGAGACCGAGGAGCTGCACCATGACCGGGTGACCCTGGAGGTGGGCAAGGTGATCCAGCAGGGCCGGCAGAGCAAGGGACTGACGCAGAAGGACCTGGCGACGGTGAGCAGGCCGGGGCCCCTCCCCCCAGGGCCGGTGTTCAGAAGGTGCCTGCTGGCTTGGGGCTTCGGCTTCCCCCTGCCCCTGCCAGGGAAGCCACGTGAGGCCAGGTGTAACTTCTCTCAAGTGTGGCATGGCTTCAAATGTGTACAGAGCCCGGAGCTTCTCTCCACTAAGGCCCTTGGTCCCTTGCTGTCACGAAGGCGGCGCCCCACAGCCTCTCACTGTGTGGCGTGGTTTTATGGCGCTTCCTCATTGAGCTGACGTGTACGAAACACGTCTTCTCTTTAGAAAATCAACGAAAAGCCACAAGTCATCGCGGACTACGAGAGTGGACGGGCCATCCCTAATAACCAGGTTCTGGGCAAAATTGAGAGAGCCATCGGTGAGTGCCCTTCAGGCCATTGTCGGGTCTCCGCTGCGCTGCTGTGCCCCTGAGCGTTGCTCACATGCTGCTCCCACACACCCTCTTGTGGTGGCAGCCGGAACCCGCGGCATGGAGCTCCCGGGCCACTGGTGCCGAGAGGGACTGTCGGCTCTGTTTCAAGATGACCAGCAGGCGCGAGGGTGGTGGGCCCAGCGTCCAGCCGAGGGTGGGGCGGTGCTTGTCCCTCCCCTCCCATCCGCTGCCACCTCTGGGCCCATGGGCGGGGACGCTGTGGCGCTGCCCTGTCCTTTGAAGTTGCAGAGTGGGAGCTGCGGTGGTCAGTGGGCCGATGGCTCTTGCAGGCCTCAAGCTCCGGGGGAAGGACATTGGGAAGCCGATCGAAAAGGGGCCAAGGGCGAAATGAACACAGAGCCTCGAAACCGGTGCGTCTGGCCGACCTCGTCTGCCGGTCCCCTTGACCACCAGCGCAGGCCTCTTCACGTGGCCGAGCGGGTGCCGGGCTGTCAGCCCTGCCCGGGAACCCCTCCTCCCGAACCTGCTGTCACTCAAAATCTTGCAAAGTGTTCGCTTCTCCTGATTGTTTCGCCTCCCCAGCCCCAGTCCTCAGATTGGGGTACAGAACGCTACTGTCCTCTCCCACAGTGTTGGCCCGGTTGTGGGTGCGGCTCCCCGGGGAACTGAGAGGGAGCCCCTCACGTGGGCGGGTGTAGGGTGGGGTGGCCTGATCCAGCCCAGAAGGGGGAAGGTGCCTCTGGTCCGGCTGTTGGAGAAGCTAATAAACGTTTGCTGCCCTTCTTGCTGCTGTGAGTCATCCTGTCCTGGCGACCGGGGAGGTGGGGAGGGTCATTTTCGTGATGGTCACAGTGGGCGTTGGCTGGCCTCTTGGCCCCAGACCCCACCCTCCCATGCTCCAAGTCCCCAGCCACACCCTCCCCTGCGAACAGTGGGCCAGGGTGGCAGCGTGGAGCAAACTGGAGGGGAGTGCCTGGTGGTGCGGCGGTCACCCCCTCCCCCAGGACAGCCATGTCCAGTGGGGCCTTCCAGGCCCATGCGTGGCAGTGTCCGAATCTCAGGGGAGGAGCAGAGCTGGGACCCACCCTGAGATCCACCTGACTTTATTTTATTAGGTGAGATGGCACGTGGGGACGCCAGGCACCTGGACACACCTCCAGGGAGTCGCCTTCCTCAGACCCCTGTGAGGTCAGGAGGACAAAACCTCAGCTTTGTTTAACAGGGACCCGCTCAGGGTTGTCATGGTAGCACCAAGTGACCTCTGCTTTGATATGTTATCATTTTGGGGACTGCTTAGACCTTTACAGTGGGATGGACATGGGGGACCCCGACCGTGGGATGGTGGGCACAGCGGGGCCTGTCCCCCACCAGACCTGTTTCATGACACGTGGGACCCGGTTAAGTGTTTGCTCTTCAGTGTGTCCCAAACCAGGTGCAGAATCACCCAGTAAGGTGGGGCCAGGTGGGCCTGGTTTGAGTCCCACCCAGTGGGGGTTCCCACCTGGCCAGTGCAGTGGCTTCTCAGGGTCCTGCCCCATCTAACTCCTGGTCCCTCTAGCCCCGACCCTGTCCGGTGTGACCTGTTTCCTGTCACCCAAGCCACTGAGATGGAGATGCCAAGTTCAGCTTCGGGAAGGTTGGGCACAGGGATCCCGGGAGCCATTTTCTGGAGGGTGGACAGAGCAGGACACACAGATTTTGGTCGGCAAGTGGGGGCTGCCGTCACAGGTCGGGGTGTTTATTGTTGGGGTGAGAACGCTACCCGGGCACGTGAGGAGCCAGGGTCTCCTCTGGGTCATCTACGGGTCATTGGTGACGGACGTTGGCAGGGTGACTTGATCCTAGGAGGCAGCAAAGGCGCTTGGTGACTGCTGGGTGGAAGGGGTGGCCAGCCCCAGGCGGGTCCTGTCCCATGGCTCCCAGTTCAGGGTCAAGCCCACCCGCCCCCACCCAGGGGCCCTACCGCATTGAAGAGAACGTTGTCAAAGCCGGTGGCCTTGGCCTCCGCCCTGCTCCGAAAGGGACAGCCACCCTTCTTCCGCAGCCAGTGCCGCCCCAGGACCCCGAGCAGCACCAGGAGCATGAGGACGAGAAGGGCACCCCCGACCGCAGCAGGCACCAAAGTGGCCCGCGCTGTGTCCCCTGTGGGCCACGGGGCGTGTGAGCCCTCCAAGCCAGCCCCATGCCCGAGGCCAAGGACGCCGCCTGGGGTCGGCTGGTCCCTGCTGCCCCCTCGGCTTGCTGGGGTTCACAGCTCTAGAGGGTGCACTATCCTGCCAGCACAGGCTCTAGGCTGACACTGAGGTCCTGGCAGACCTGGCAGGTCCCCAGCCAGGCGGGACTCCGCTTTGTCGTGAAGCTCCAGGAATGGCTGGCTTCAGTGTATGGCCTGACCAGCGCCTCCCAGGGCCTGGACGTGCCCTGGGGGCAGAGCACGAGGCACAGGGGGGCAGCTTCTGAGGAACCAGAGACGAGGGGCGGCAGGCAGAGGGAGGGGATGGCTCAGGGCCTGGCCTTGGTGGCGCTCTGGCCTCTCAGGCAGTCACATGGGCCCTGAGCAGCAGAGCCCAGACCCAGAGCAGGGCGGGCATCCTGGGCGGGACTTACCCTGGCTGGGCGCAGACAGCTGGCAGGGCTGCCCCGCCAGATATTCAATGTCGTCCAGGCCAATGGGCCCCAGGACTGGCTGGCCGCCCAGACTGGCTTCAAACACGATCTGACCAGGAGGGAGAACAGGCTTTGTGGAGTGGACGGCCCTGCCTGAGACCCCAAGGCCGCCCGGCTGTGCTGAGCAGCCGACCTCACCTGGAACTCCTCTGCGCTGGCCACCTCCACCTGGCCTTCCAGCCACTGGTGCCGCAGGCGCCCGCCCGCGCCCCACACGGCTAGCTGGCCCCGGGCACTGCTCTGGAGCACCCTCAGCTGGCCCTGGTCTGAGATCGGGGGCCGGGGGGGGTCAGGTCCTTAAACCGGCTTGACACATGGGTGCCCCTGGGCCCTGCTGCCCCCACCGCCCTGGCCCTGCAGGCCCACTGACTCACAGAAGTGCTCCGGGAAGCCCATGTAGTACCAGAAGCGGAGGCAGGAGGCCTTGGTGGCCGGCAGAGGCTGGCTACGCAGCCAGGCTGCCCGGCCCCCTGGGCCCAGCACGCCGGTTTCAAAGAGAGCAAAGTGGCCTGGGAATGAGGGAGGGATGGAGCTGGCCCTTACCTGAGGCCTCTGGCCCTGATGGCTGGGCTGCTGGCCTGGGGTGGGGCGGGCCGTGTGGGCCCGGGAGCGGGTGGCTCTGGGCCCCGCTCCCTGTCTCAGACCCACCTGCATCAGTGCCCAGGGTGTGGTCCACGGGAGGCTGGGGGAAGCGGGAGGGCGTGGCTCCACTGCTCCAGTCCCAGCTGTAGCCGCCCAGGCCAGCCGACGGCAGGTGGCTCCAGCCACACAGGCCCATCTCAAAGTCACAGGAAGCTGCAAGGGACCTGGGCAGTGAGTGGTGCCGCCCTCGCCTCCTCTGCCCCTGGGCCACCACCACTGCTGGAGGCAGGGCCGGCACAGAGCTGGTACACCTGGGAGCCACAGCAGGCGCCAGGGCCAGGCCACAGGGTCCCACCTGGCCGAGGGCAGGGCCCGTCCTGGAGGAAGAGGTCGTCCAGCGCGATGTAGGTGTGTTCCACCCCCGCGGCCACAGCCTCAAACACCACCTGGGAAGGCACAGGGCAAGGCAGGCTCGCCACTGGTCCGGACGGCCCTTGGGAGTGAGCAGGGACCCTCCCCCCACACTCACCCTCCAGGCCCGCTGGGCCTGCACGTCCACGCTACCCAGGCGCCAGGCGAGCCCTCCGTGGCCGCTGATGCTGAGCACCTGTCTCCTCCCAGCCTCCTCCACGTGGACCTGCAGGGTACCTGCCACGTGCGGCCGCCAGCCCGGGTCAGCAGCAGTGGGGGAACAGCGCCCGCTCGGGGCCCCACGGGTGACCTGGGCACCGGGGCCCGTGTGCACCCTGGGCCTCCCATCTGGGCAGCCCTCACCTGGCTTCTGGGCGCTCAGGTGGTACCAGAAGGTCAGGCAGGCCGGCTGGGCCAGGGGCCTGTGCTCCTCCGAGGTGAGGGACGCCACGCGGCCTTGAGGCAGGGCCTGTGGGCTCGTGTCCACCACCATGTAGTGCCCTGGGGAGGTGCCAGCTTCAGCCTGCCACCCTGCCCCTCAGTGCAGCCACCCCACCCTCAGCTCCGCCCCAGGCCGGCACCTTGGGCGGTCTCAGTGGTGTGGTCGGCGCCCGGGCCCCAGGCGGCGTGGCCCGTGGCATTGGTCTGGAGCGTCCAAAGGCCCGCAGTGGAGAAGCCGCAGGCTGAGTCCTCGAAGGAGCAGAGCTCAGGGGCCCAGCAAGGCCCGGGCCGCACGGCCACGTCGTCCAGCGCCATGGTGCCGTGGAACCCGTCCCGGAGGCCCTCGAACAGCAGCTGGGGGTGCGGGGGTCAGCGCGGGGGCCTTGCCCTGCCCCCACCGCCTGGGCACCGGGCCTCACCTGGTATTGGGCGCCGGAGTCCACCTGGTGGCGGAGGGTGGCCCAGGCCTCGTGCCAGCGGTTGCCATGACTGCCTGACCGTGACCACAGGCGCGTGTCCGCCTTCCCGTCCTGTCTCATCACCAGGCGCAGTGTCCCTGGAGGGAGGTGGGGTTTACATGGCCCAGATCCCCACTCCCGGTGATCCCCCCTCTCCAGAGCCCCCGCAGGGTAGAGACAGAGCTCGCACCCGAGGGCCCCCCAGGCTTGCCGAGCTCCAGGACACTCACCGGCCTGGGGCCCGTGGAGGTGGAACCAGAAGGAGAGACACTCCGGCCCGGCGGCCGGCGTCTGAGGCCGGGTGAGCAGGTGGGCACCAGGGCCCCGGGCTAGGGGGTCGGCGGGGTCCAGGACCATGAAGTAGCCTGCGGGGGGTGGGGGAGGCGTGGCTGAGCTGCGGAGACGCCAGGCTCCAGGAGGGTCTCGCCCCGTGGGAGCGCGCCTCCCACCCCCACGCCTGGAGGCCACCCCCCAGTCTGGGTGCCCCCACCCTACCTCTGCCCGTGGTGTGGTCGTACCCAGGGCCACGGCTCTCCGTCCGGTGCCAGTGGGCGTCAGTGAAGTGGCCTGTGTGCCAGCCACACGTGTCCCGCTCAAAGTTACAAGAGACCTCTGGGGGTGGGCAGGGGCAGGTCAGCACACCCCCTGCCGCACCCCTCCTCAGCCCCGAGGGGGTAGGGAGACTTGATCTCTGGAGTGGGCCTCCCAGGGGTCCCTTGAAGTGGTCCCTGGAGGCCCCTGGGTGGGGCGTGGGCAAAGGCAAGGAAGACCTGTGTCCTTCTTGGTGGCCACTGTGGGACTGCAGTCCTTCATGAACATGTCGTCCAGCCCGGCGCCCTGCTGGCCCGGGCCATCCAAGTCCACCAGGCCCACAAACTCCAGCTTCATGGGGTGTGGGGGAGGGGGAGGGACTGTTAGGTCAGGGCTGGCTCTGTGCACCTGCCCCCCAGGCTGGCTCGGTGCACCCGCCCCCCAGGCTGGCTGTGTGCACCCGCCCCCCAGGCTGACCCCCTCACCCAGAAAGGCCGGCGGCGTGCCCCAAGCAGGACCCTGTCCACCTTCCAGACCCCGTTGCCGCTGCCTGGGGCCTGCCACACCAGCTCCCGGGAGCCGCCCTCCACCACGGCCAGCGCCAGGAAGCCTGGAGGAGGGGGTGGCCATGGGTCAGTCTGCCCCCTTCCCCCCTTCCCACCACAGGGCACACCTCAGGGCTGGGCAGAGGCCCAGAGGGACAGTGGCACCTGGGGAGCGACTCTGAAAATAGTAAGCCAGGTGGAGTTCACAGTGGGGGCCGGACGGGCCCAGCGGGGCTGTGAGGACCCGGGCTTCGGCGGTCAGCTGCCCCCAGGCCCTCTGCAGGGACAGGAAGTGCCCTGGGGAAGAAGAGCAAGGGCGCTCAGAGCAGACTCCTTCCCGGGAGCCGCAGCGCAGAGCCCCGCCCCACCGGGGGTGCGCGTGCACGCAGGCTCCGGGCCGCACGGGTGGGGGGCTGGGGCGTCACCGGCAGCAGCTCCACTGGCGTCCGTGTCTGGAACCCCACTCTCCTGGGCCTGACGACGCCCCCACTGCAGCCGCCCCACGCTGGCGTCCTCCCAGCCGGCGGCCGTGGGGGTCTCGAAGTCCGTCGTGCCTGCAGAGGCAGCGGACACTGAGCGGCGGCCTCTGGAAGCGGGGACAGTCTGCAGGGAGCGAGGACCCCACCCGGCTCCAGCTGCCCCTCACCGCACTGCTGCTCGTCCTCGCCCCCCTCGCACTGCTGCTGAAAGTCACACAGCTGCTCCGGGGGGACACACAGGTCACCGCAGGACAGATGTCCCAGCTCACAGAAACCCTGGGGCTGCTGGCCGGATGCCTGGAGCCAGGGGGCTGGGGCCCAGAGCTCAAGAGGTGGGCGGGACACCTCTGTCGGGGGGGGGAGGATGGAACGGGTGGGGGTGTCAGGCAGGCGGGAGCTGAGCCCCCCCCGGGGAGGGAAGGGGCTCGGCAGGCTCACCCGGGACTGGTTTGCAGCTGTCTGACAGGATGAGGTCGTCCAGGCCCACGACGCCCCCGGGACCCGTGTGCCCAGCCAGGAGGATCTGAGGGCGCAGAGGGCTCAGGGGTTACCCAGCATCCCCTCTTTTATCCCCAGGGTCGGCTCCTTTGGGCTCTCTCCCCACCAGCCCACACCTGTATTTCACGCATTGCTGGACACCTCCTCCTGCCACCACCCCCACTTCAGAAAGACACCCCTCCTTCTCTCTGTCCTCTCCACATGCAGCCCACACGCCAACCAGCCAATGAACTTCCTGCACGGACAGCCCCGAGGGCCCCGACCTGGGCCCCGGGTTTCCTTCCTCTTCCTCCGAGGGGTCCCCTGGGCCGCCCTGCCTGCCCCCTACCACTTGGTGCACCCGCCTCACCTGGAAGGGGTGCTCGCTCTGGATGTCCACCCGGTCTCGGACCCAGGCGGCCCCCAGCTCCCCACGGCGCCTGCGCAGCAGGACAGGGGCCTGCGGGGCTCCCGGCCTCTGAGTCTGCAGGAACAGCTGGAGGCAGGTGGCCTCAGACCCGTGCAGGTAGTGGTAGAAAGTGAGCTGGGAAGGGACCGAGGATGGTCAGGGGAGACTCAGGGTCCCAGCAGCCAGGACAGGCCACCCTGCATCCCCCGCCGGCCTCACCGAGCAGTTGTGTGGGCCTGAGGCTTGGAGCTCGGGGCTGTAGAGGGTGGCAGGGGCGCTGGGCTCGGCCACGGAGGCCAGGAAGTAGCCTGGAGAGAGAGCGAGTGTGTGCGGGGTGGCAGGGTGGGCCAGGTGTGGGCCGGGGCGGTGGCCGAGGGTCCTTGCTGGGGCTCACCCTGAGCGCTGTTCCGGCTGTGGTCACGGCGAGGCCAGGCGGGGTGCTCGGGTCCACCAGCGCTGTGGTTCCGGGTCCAGCCCTCCGAGTGGTCCCACAGGCCCAGGCCTGTCTCAAAGTCCGTGGACATGTGGCGGCCTAGGGCAGGAAGCGGGGCTCAGGCCACTCCTGGCCCCTGGCCTCCCCCTTGGCGCCATGGCTGCAGGCCACGTGGCTCCACCTCTAGGTGGACACACGAGCAGCCCCACCCCCAGAAGAGCCGCCCCGGGTGCAGCCCTGCCAAGCCCGGCTCACTGCAGGTGGACACGTCCTCGTCGGAACTGTCCCCACAGTCGTCCTCCCGGTCGCACAGCTGCTGGGCCTCCACGCAGGCCTTGTTCTGGCACTGGTGTTGCCCCAGGGGGCAGCGAGCCTGGGGGCCTGAGGAGGGGGAGGGCCGCCTCATCACCCCCGCCACAAGATCCTGGGCACAGGGGCAGCTGGGAGAGGCTCAAGCCCTTCTAAGCCAGGAGTGAGCAGGCAAGAGGCTCCTGCTGACCCACTGCCCCCCAGGTGTGTGCCCATCGCGTGGAGTCTTACTGGGCAGCCCACAGCCCGAGAAGGCCATGTCGTCCAATGTCACAGCGCCCCTGTGGGTGGCATTTCGGGTGGCAGAGAAGGTCACCTGGAAAGAGCAGGGTCCTTAGGACCTAAGTCAGGGCTTAGCTCCTCCCCGCTGCCCCCACTGTCAGGATCCCCCCTCACCCGGAAGTCGCCCTGGATACGGCCGGTAGCCACCACCAGCTCCTGCCAGCCTGGGCCCCAGGGCCCTGAGCTCTGCCACAGGGTCAGCGTCTCCGTGCCGTGGGTCAGCTCCAACCGCAGCTCGGCTGCATCTGCAGGGGGTCCTGGGGCAGCTCAGGCCCCGCAGGTGCCTCCCCAGCCTGCTGGCTGTGCCTCGCCCGGGACTCCTGCCCTTCCTTTGGGGGGCCCCAGTCTCTGCAGCCACCTGCCTTCTTGTCCCGGTCCCTGCCCTAAGAGCACCCCACCAGGCCGCAGGGGCCTGGGCACACACCTCCAGAGGCCACGTGGTACCAGAGCCTCAGCTCACAGGCGGGGGCCGCTTCGCGGAGCACGGGGGAGCGCAGGGCTGCGGTGGATGCTGCTTTCCCACGGTGGGTACCCACAGCCACGTACCAGCCTGGATGGGCAGAAGGTCAGACTACAGGGCAGGAGCCAGAGAAGGGAGGGGCTGGCACGGAGACCCACCCAGTGGGCCTCACCTAGGTCGGTGCCGCGAGTGTGGTCTGAGCCTGGGCCCGGGCCTCCCCGTGCGGCCCCGGCCCGGTCCCGGAGCCAGCTGTAGCCTGACGTGCTGATGTCTCGCCAGCCACAGGTGTCCTGCTCGAAGTCGCAGGCGAAGGGGACGCCCAGGGCGGATGGGGTCGCATGGTAACCTGGGACAGCAGGCGGTCAGGGGAGCTGCCGTGAGGGGTGGCCCCGCCGGCCCCCTGCCTGGCCCCGGCTCACCGCAGTGGGTCTCGTCGGAGCAGTCACTGCAGTCACACACGAAGTTGCACAGGGCATCGCTGGGGGTCGCGCAGTGGTTGGGGACCCAGGCCCAGCCTGGGGACCCTACTGCAGCCAGCAGAGAGACAGCCAGGTGGCCTGGGGCACGGACCCCTCAAACCTAGTCATCCTGCCTTGGGGACGCCCAGGCCAGGTCGAGGAGGGCAAGGGCTGGGTCTGCGGCTGGGGGCTCCCTGTCTGGCCCCAAAGAGGCCGGCTGCACATCAGTACTGGGGGGATGTGGGCATGCGTGGGACCAAGGGCCCCCACCTGGAACACCCCCTGGGGAAGGAAGCAGGAGCCCAGCAGGGAGCCGGAGGCACTGTCAGGAGGGTGCCCCAAAGGGCAGGCATCAGTGGTGGCCCAGGCCCCCTCAAGCTCTGTCTGTCCCTCACCTCGGGGCCTGGGTGACCAGAAGGCTTGTTTCTTCCCCAACAACATAATACCCAGGCCCCCGAGGGCCTGCCTTGGGCACACCCACGGCCTTGCACTTGAGCCCCCAGCCATCCCTGCTTCAGGAGCGGGACCTGATGACTCACCCAGGAGCAAGACCAGAGCGGGCAGAAGGTGGCTGGGCAGAGGCATGGTCAGGCCAGAGGGAGCGAGGCGAGGGGTCCTGGGCACGCTGAGCAGCCTGGTAGGGACTCTGCCTGCTTATCAGGCTGACTGCTCCAACTGGAGACTGGTCCCCAGCCGGCCCCGCCCCTTGTCGATGGGTATAAACTTCTGGTTGTAAAAGTGTCCAAGAGGGGCCCCTGCCCCAGGTCAGCTCCCACCTGTCCAGCAGCTTCAGACCGAAGGTCAGGCCCCGGCCATCGAGCCCACTGCTGCCCGGCCCCGCCTGCTGGACGCCCTGCTGGAGGCAGCGCAGGCTGAGGCCACCTCTCCCAGGGCCTCTGTCCCAACCTGGGCTTTGAGGACCGCCTGGCCCAGGGCCGCCAGCAGCCTAGCTTGTGCAAACCCCCAGCTGTCAGGACCACAGCAGCCCCATCTCCATCACTCTGCCTGCGGTTCCTGTCCACTCGCTCGCTTATAAAAAATCGCTTATTCATTGACAGCTGTCCCGAGCAGCATGGCAGGGTACCCAGGGGCCCTGGGTCTCATGGCACAGACCACAGACCCCCAGTACAGGGCTAGGAGCCAGGCTCTGCCTGCAGTGCATGCTGTGACCTCGAAGCGTGCCTCGCCCAAGCCCGTTTCCTCCGCTGTAAAACACAGAGGCGGCAGCGCCTGCTCTTCAGCTCGCCAAAGGCGCACATGGCCGCATGACGTAGCTGCAGCCGAAGCAGGGGCACCCACACTCAGTGCGCCTCGTGACCCTGCATAGCCCTGCACTGTGGACAGGAGTGGGGCCCGGGAGAGGGGGTCCCAGCCCCACATCAGCAGCTCTGCCTGTGGACTTCGGGCGGGAGCCCTTGGCTGCGCCGCAGGGGCCGTGGGGCCTGACCTTGGAAGCAAGGAGTCACAGGCTACTTTCATGTGTGACTTCAGGTGGCAGAGCACACAGGGACACTGAAATCAGCCAGCCAGGATGGTGTCCTCCTTGCCCTGCACACTGGGATGGGCACTCCCTCCTTGGCTGGCCCCAAGGGACCGGGCACTGACTCCTTGCGCAAGAGCTAGGTGGGCCCCCTCCCAGATGTCCTTGGGGATAGTAACCACGTGGAGGAGCAATTAGGCCATAAACGGGGACAGCAGCTCAGGGGCTCCCTTATCAGACCCCAAAGAGCTGAGTATGCACTGCCACTCCCTGGGGCCGGCTGAGGGGCAGCCAGGAGGGGACTCAGCCTCTCAGCCACCACCCACTTAGGGGTCTGGAGAGAAGACTCAGGAGCAGAGAAGATGAGACACACAGCATCCAGGGACCGGCAGGGATGACAATGCTTTTAATTCCCATGGGCGAGGTAAACCCGGGCACTGTGACCAGACTGGTGTGTGTCTCCTAGGCCTGGCCAGGGGCACAGTGCCAGGGGATGCAGCCCAGTCCCTCAGCGTTCCGAATGGGTAGCTGGAGGCAGCAGGCTGCAGGTGGGTCTCAATAGCCGTCATCGGCCCAGGTGACCTCGTAGTCAGGGTACCTGGCTTTGATCTTCTCAGTGGAGATGGAGTGCTGGGCCCGACCATATCCCTGAAGAGAGAAGGTAG